CTACGGTATGAGCTATAGGTTACGTGCATGCAAAGAAAACCAAGGCATTGTATGCACAGGTGAAACGGGATCCTTATTTGTATGATGGTGCAAACATTCGATAATCCGGAGGTTCGATTAGCTGAGGATCGGATTATCCGGGGTTCGATTATCCTGAGAAAATGGCTCGAAATATTTTTTCTGTGAATTTTAGTAAGTAAAAACAACAACTTTTGATGCATTTTAACCATTTTGAGCGAATTTGTGCTTGGTGGAGATAAACAAAGTGATATTTACTAGGGGCATCCCACTCTAAACTTTGTATTTTCCCCCGTATACAAAAAAAAATCTCAGCGATACCTAAGATACCTAAAAATACTTACTAATACTTAAGAAATATCTAGCATTCGTTTATTTGTTCGGTTGCTATAAGGATTTCATCTGTTTGTTTACTAATGTCAGTAGAATTGTGTGGAGTTTGGAAAATTGGTTAAGAAATTAACGTTCATTTTATTAACAGCGTGAGCAGAGCAGCTAGGCATATGTCACGGACCGTTTTCTGTGTAATCTGTTCGTCCTGCTCCAGAAAAAATTCATTCTGGTCTGATAGACATGAGAATCCTGTCATTTTTATTTCCTATCTCAAGGTGAGTTTTGCGTTATAATAGAGAATATAATTGTTCTTTTCGTCCGGTAGATTCTTGCCCGAGTGACGATGATTACGTGTTTATAGCCTAATCTAAGCAAAATGAAAAGTAGACAAATCTTTTAACTAATTTTTCGTAGCTTTTCTCAGTACATTTTATTTCAGAAGAGAATAAATAATCAAGGCCGCTAAGCTGAATACGATCGTAGCGAGAGGTCCTTTTGATCCAAAAGGGGAACCTCTTTTTAAATTATTTTGAACCGTTTTATGATTTCAGCACAGCTCTCTTTTAACTTCCCGGGAGGATATAGTTTATAACCTTTATCGATTATGAACTCCATGATCTCTTAATCATTTTTTTAATACGATTTGGACGTATGATATAATGATTGACTACTCAACAAACAATTTTAGCTGCAGACTAGCTTATACAGGCAAAAATATAATCTAACCTGCAGCTAAAATTGTTAGTTGGGTAATTTGAAATAATGGTAGTGGTATGGTCAAACATGAAACTATTATGGGAGTGATTCAAATAATCGGATTTAACTATTATGTTTTTCCTACGTATAATCCAAAAAAAGCAATACATTTCTTTAAATTATTTATTATAATATTAATGGAACATTTTCGTCAATAAACACCCGGAAGATCGTCAAACTTTCTACCTTCTTTCGATCAGACGTTTTCGCACTCCTACCGATTTAGCAGCGCTTCCTCCACGAAAACTTTGCTTGGTCAGCTTGAATTCCTTCGGATGATTCTGCGACACGTTTTCAATTCCTCACATCTACATTGTGAATCGCTGAAAAATGTAAATAAAGTTATTATATTTCTAAACATAGTAAAAATACTTACCCAATTACATGAAATTTCATATGAATTTGTAAAAAAAAAATGACGAACAGCTCGATCTAGCATACAACAAGTCAATAAAAAACAACTAAACTAGCAACCCGACATAAATAAAAACAAGTGTTACTACGGTGAAAATGTAATCTTGGTTTAAAATACTGAAAAATACTTAAGAATACTTACGGGGGATTTAAAAATATTTTATTGATATTAGGTCTACAGTTTAGAGTGGGATGCCCCTAGAAGTGATATATAAAGATAAGATGACGAAGGCATCCTGAGGTGACCATCCTGAGCTGTGAGGGACCATATCAGGAAAATTTGATTTGAATTGTTGAATGTTGAAGATTTTCAAAACAAAACTTACTCAACCAGAAGCCTAGGAAACAGAGATTTCTGATCACCTACGTCTTTGAAATATTTTCGGAGCCACCTTGCGTCATGAGGGAATATCCGAGAGATATTATTTGAATTGATGAACAGTTTGAGATCTTCAGTACTATGGCACCTGGCAGTGAGTTGCAGCATTATTTGACTTAAGGGTACTAATGAGGTCTGATAAACTGCCTCTTCCTCTTGAGTCCACTCTAGAAGCTACATTTCGTATTTAGATCTATAAGTGAACTGCTGGTCTGAGTTTCTCTGGTGTATTCAATTAGAAGATGTCCCTGAACATACAGTCAAACAGCACGTAATGTTCTGAACAACTTTAATGTCAGTTGTCCAGCAGTGCTCCCATTTTATTTACTACAATCTAATGCCTACGAGATTGTGCCGAAGATATGCCGAAAATGTGCCGATGGATGTGCCCAAGCTGTGTAGAATATAATTCCGGCACAATGAGCTGAATGATTTACCCCTTGGTGCCTGGTCAACCTGAAGTCTTGAAAAAAATATCCAGGCGACTTTATGGAGATCTTAAAACACGAAGGAGTTTGAAAAAAATTCTAAGTGGCCGTGTTTCATATGAGAGAAAATCTGAGAGATGCTATATGGATTATTAAATACTTGGATATCTTAAGAATCCCAAGTAGCCAAAAGTTCTGATAAAAGGCTATTTGTGGCTTAAGCAGCTTGGTTGAAGGTGCTCTATAGAATTCTAAGCAGCCTCATTTTTAAGTCGTTATAAGAACTTGAAAGTTCCGGTACCATAATTGAAGAGCATTCTAAGCAGCTTCTGGCGGAACTCTAACGGAACTTTTAGAAAATAAATTAAAAAAGGTTTTTGTCCTCTACACCAATTCTATATTAAGTTCGCACTTTTATGAAAGTTATTTCTAAAGACAGGTATTAATGTGTATTGATTTATCAGCATTAGTAGTAGAATTGGAGCTGTTTGAAGAATTAAACCCAGTCCTTCTGCGTGAGAGCCCCAGCACGAACTGCTACGTCACCTGAGATATATTAAAGTGAGCTATTGTCCCGCCTACTGTTGGAGTTTTCAGTGCCAGCTGACTTGAATACGAAACACAACACCTTGATGAATTTTAAATTGGTGTTTGCCCGCATGGTATTCCAAAACACTTGTGGCGCAGGGGTTAGCAATCGTAGATCGCGAATACACGGGTTCAAATCCAGGAAATTATTCTTATTCTCTTTATATTTTTTAATAAACTGCATAAATATAAGAATTATGATTTATTCGGGCCACTGATCATTTCATATTTACGTACATTGAATTTTGTTACTAATAAAGACTTGCGCGAATTGCTTCATGTAACTTGAAAGTTCTGTCGGAGCTTTATTTGAACTTTATGGAACTTGAAGGTTCTGACGGAACTTTATTCGAACTTTATGGAACTTGAAGGTTCGGTCGGAACTTTGTTTGAATTTTATGGAACTTGGAAGTGATTTTAATCGTTGAATGCGCAACTTTTGGTTACTTGGGATGATACCTAATCAATCTGAAATCTGCTATTGGAGAGATAGATGTGATTTGATGAGTTGGGCAGATGAAGATCTATAAAATCATAAATGAACAAGCTGAAGTCTTGAACAAATATGCTGAACACTTTTTGGAAATCTCTAATCATTTGGAAGTCTTTGAAATAATTTCTGAGCAATCCAGTTTTTGAGAGAACAGCTGAGAGATGCGAATTGTATTTATGAGCAGTTTTAAATCTTCAGAAAAATCAAACTGATCAAGCTGAAGCCTTGAACAAATATTTTGAGGAATTTTTGGAGATCTATGATATATCTTTGGAATTATTTGTGAGCGGGAAATGTGATTTGAATTGTTGGGCAGTTAGAAATCTACAGAATAATAAATTATCAAGCTTAAATCTTGAATGATGACTCCTGGGAGGTCTAGATATTTGTTCCAGGCTTCGGGTTGGTCAGGATTTTCTTTTTCTGCCGTCAGGTTTTGACCATTTCCCCAATAGTATCTAAAGAATTTACGAGTGTAGTAGATATGCTAATATGCACACCACCAATCATCGAGTTTTTAATAAATCAAGAATATTTATATATTGCATGGTTAGAGTTAAATATTTTAATTCCGATTCTTGCATATTATGGTGCTGTATCAGCATATGGGGGTGACCAATGTGATGGTACGTCCTCATTGGCGTAGCTAGAATTTATCTGGAGGGGGTCTAGATAATTCTGGAGGGGGCCTAGATAGTTCTGGAGGGAGTCTGGCCCCCCTGGCACCCCCATTAGCTACGCCAATGTACGTCCCTGGTAACCAGTTTTTGCTTGGAAGTTCGGGTGAGACAAAAAAGGTTGAAAACCATGATGCTGATCATTTAAAAACCCTTTCAGATTTTTTTTCGGATTTTGTATGGAGACGACCGTCCCCAATAAACAAGATGATTCTGATCCCCCATAGATGGATAAATTCATCAAAAGAAAACCTTACCACGTTTAATCAAAATTAAATGATATTTTATCCACGCTGCCAAGCAACTTTTTTGTGTTGCGTCATTTGTGCATTTACTTCGGTCACGATTCGCCAATTGATTTAAATCCTAAGACGGCATGCTTCAGTCGTAAATCGCATGCAAGTCTAAATAATTAATCCTTCTTTGTGCTAGATATGTCATCAGCCAATGAGATTTCAGCAAGAATTACCAATTATTTACTCATTTAATCGTGAAAAACGTATTTAAAAATATTCGCTCATTGATTTGCCGTGTTTCGTTTGTTGAGCTATCAATTAGCACATGTTAATATCATTGGCGTTACTACGGGGGGCTAGGACGCTATCTCTAGAATTATTACTACAATTACATATTTTCCATACACATCTTGTTCGCTAATTGCTGAAAATAAATTTAGCCCCCTCCCTTCTAGATTTTTTCTTTAGCTACACCAATGGTTAATATGTTGAAAAAAGTACTCACACTCTATCTCTCTCAAATTGACATAGCCCACCTCTACCACATGCACGTAAAAGATAAATCACTGCGTTTGAATATCCAATTAGTTCCCATGAACACAACTTCCGGCAATTACATCATCACCTTCACGTGCCTCACTAATCGTTTTCGTCTCTATTTTTACCCGTTCCTTTCAGTTCTGTGCATTTCTAGTGATACTAATTGTGATCCAGTTTCTAATCAGCGGCTGGGCGGTCGCTTCTAAAGAGCAGCTCATGACGCCTGCCGAGGTGGCCATCGAGGACAGCTTCCTTCAGTTCATTACCAAGGACGGGGCCATCACCGATCAGACGCACATCTGGAACCGGCTGCAGCGGAATGTTAGTATCCGAGGGAGGATTGTCTGTTTAGAGAATCGTTTCATCTTAATTTGATTTCATCGTTTGTTTTTAGCTCCAATGCTGCGGTTTCAACAAAATCGATGACTACAATAAGTTGAAGAACGTTCCGTGGTCCTGCTACGATCCCATCAACAGCAAGGTGCACAGTACCGGCTGCATGCATGTTCTGGTGAAGAGGATCGAACTTAACATGATCAAAGTAGCCATCGTTGCGATAGTATCTGCATTAATACAGGTTAGTAGGCTCCTTTGATGACGAAACATACCCATCAACATTGGGTAGAAAAGATACTTAATTGTGACATATAGGTCTCGCCTTCAACGGCGCTAATTAGGAAGGAAGGTTTTAAACTGATTTTCCTTGTTATTTGAGAATTGAGAAAAATCTCTACAAGCACGAAGAACTAATATGAAACATCAGTCATTTCGAACACAGCTGAGGGGAATTTGGGAAATGGTCTACCGGCATAATTGCTCATTTCAAAACATAATAGGAATTTAATGTTTTGACAATCCATTAGAGCGCGCATATCCATTCGGCAAGATTGATTAACTTCAAACGGCAAAGTGCAGAAAGGTGTTGTGGGACTATTTTACCCCTTCCTCCCCGCACACCTCACGCTCAAGTCGTGTAGCACGGGAATCCATTTCTTCTGAATGGGATGAGCTGCCCGAAGCACGAGATTTCAAAATAATGAATCGCGAGGTATTATTTATTTTTATCTTTTCTCCTTGCGGGTCCCGTGTTTGTTTGCATGCAAGCGCATCTGTTTTGGTATCTGCTCAATGAAAATGTTTGTTCTATGGGACAATTTAACGGCTGAAAGTCGCGACCAGAAAGTGGTGGCAGCAGATGACCCCCGTCCGATGTCGCCGTAGTCGTCAACGTCACCGTTTTACGATCATTATAGTGAGCGCTGAGCGGTGATCGCGTTGTGTCACGGCACCAGCTCAAATAAATAGTAGCAACAACAGGAACAGCATGTTGCCTGTCGACAGTTTTCTCTCACTTGCAGAGTAGTGGCGACCAATGTTGTTTCAAGAGGAAAACCCGTGTGAAATTTTTCCCATTCTTCGTGTACATGCGTGTAATTTATGCGCATATCACTCGCGTGGTGACTTTGAGCCACTGACAATACCGGGCATGATAATGAAATGCTAATGGCCACACTTGGTGTGTCATGTTTAGAACAATGCATTATTTTTAATGTGTGCCAGCAGCAGGCGAATCGCGCGGAACTAACGGTAAATACATACAGATAATTTCTTACATCCTCTATATACGTTTCTTATGAGAAATTAAGTGGTAAGGGAAACTTGATCCCTCCTCTGTTTTCTCGAAATCCAGAAAAGGGCAAGTTGACACAAAGTTTCATCTCGACCGAAGGTAGCGTTTATATTTTTGATAACAGTTCTTATGTTTTTACTCCCTAAAGTTTTTTTTAAGGCAGCATGAACAAGTTTAATGTAGAATCAGTTATAATACTTTAGTTGGTGCTATTTCTTATGAACATTTGGTCAGTTTGATTTGAAGTTAAGAACTCAGTTAGGGGAGACTTGATTCCCAAAAGATTTGAAAGTCTCAGTTACCTCTGCCAGGAGCATTTCTGAGGCTCCCTGACTTCAATGGCCTCAGGGTCAGCCCGCTTACCGATATCAATTACGCGGGGCAGGGAATGATCGCTCGTGACATACAGAAAAAAAAACTCCATAAGCACTTCACTATTCAAGTTCAAAGATTTATTCCACTTTCCTGACACAAATTTTATTCTCAGCACATTGTGCCGAAATTAGATTCGGTACATCCATCGGCACATCTTTGGCACAATCTCGTAGGCATTGGATTGTTGTAAATAAAATAGGAGCACTGCTGAACAACTGTCATTGAAGTTTTTCACAACATTAAGCGCTGTTTGACTGTATATTCAGGAACATCCTAACTGAATATACCAGAGGAACTCAGACCAGTAGTTCACTTCTCGGTTCACTTATAAATCTAAATACGAAATGTAGGTCCTAGAGTGGGCTCAAGAGAAAGAGGCAGTTAATCAGACTCCATTAGTACCCTTAATTCAAATAATGCTGCAACTCACAAAGAACAAACTACAGAAGTCATATTCATCATCCTCTATAGTCGGTCTCCAACAATGTTCCCCACCGGTTCCAACTCTTTCCGGCCGCTGATAGACTGCTGCTTTTCACATGACGAAAAGCTAGGTTTCTGGTCCGCCTTTGAGGGCATTATAAAACCCTAAATCACAGGACTTGTATTATCCTATGACAATAATAATTTCGCACACCCACCGCTTCCCGCGTCATCCTTAATCCAATTTATCCTTGCGATTTCAAAACAAAACATTCAAGGTGTCAGAAATACCGGGTTACCGGGATGAGTATTTTACAAACAATCGCAGCTTGCTCTATGACCGGCACAATCGGCACACCTGCGGTACACTTTCGGCACACTGACAAAAAAATATGACCCAAGATTGGTGTACTAAGTGACCTACTCTTGACTCACTCCCTTCTTCTCCCACTTTCTTATAATCTATCTAACCTTTATTCTTCGTCGGGGCCCCCCGTAGCACTTCCACCACGTGCCTTCGATCGTCGACCACTTGTCCTTGGTCGTCGCTCGCGTCCTCTCTACTTCCTCTTTGTTTCTCCTGTCCTTCGCGCGGTTGCTGTAGCACCGGGTTACACGTCCTGAGCCTACGAGTAGTCTACTATCTCCGGAGAGTGCAGTCTTCGAGCGTCTGTTCACCATGGAGGTGCGGCTCAAAACGGCGTCTGCTTTCCATGTTAGGAGCGGCTGATCAATGTCCTGGTCCAGCGTGGGACTCTAAACAGTGCTGTGCACGATGGTCCCCCGGCGAGACAATGGGGGTTGGTGCCAGCCGTAAAAAAAACAAAAGTAAAGGAAGCAAGCAATGTAAATACGGACGGGAACAATCGGCATAGACCCAAGCAACGGAAACGGATTAACGATTGGAAACTCGGAACATGGAACTGCAAGTCTCTCAATTTCTTGGGAAGAAGTACCCGCATTCTTTCCGATTTATTGAGGGTCCGTAAGTTCGACATCGTAGCGCTGCTGGAGGTTTGCTGGAAGGCATCGTCGGTACATACGTGAAGGGATGGTTATACCATCCATAGCATCATGTTCAACTTGAGGATCAACGGCCGTTTCTTCAATGTCAGCATAATCAACGTGCACAGTAGACTGATGCAAAATTTGAAATTTTCGCTCCACAGTGCTTAAACGGTTCCAAATTGGGTCCTGCTTAGCCTCCCAAAATTTGAACTACTTTAGTAAGAAACTGACTTGGCACAAACCAATTTTCTACAATCACTGCTATCATTTTTAAAAGCATAGTGATGTGGTGAATTGTTAGATAGATATGAACAAAAACATATGTTTTCCCATAGTAATTCCCATATAAACTTCGAATAGTTTGTGCCAAGTCAGTTTCTTACCAAATGAGTTTTAATTTTGGGAGTGATTAGCCTCCTGGACCTGATTTGAAACCGTTTGAGCACTGTGGAGCGAAAATTGCAAATTTTGCATCAGTCTAGTGCACAGCCCTCACTTAGCAAGTGACGATGACGATAAAGACGCTTTTTACGCGCAGCTGGATAGGGAATACGACAGCTGCCCTAGCCATGACGTCAAAATCGTCATCGGTGATCTTAACGCTCAGGTCGGCCAGGAGGAGCAATTATAGAAAAATTCAGCGCTCACTAGCTAACGAACGTCAACGGCCTTAGACTCATCGATTTCGCTTCTAAGAACATGGCGATACGTAGTACCTACTTCCAGCATAGCCTCCCATATCGGTACACCTGGAGATCACCGCAGCAGACAGAATCGCAAATCGACCACGTTTCGATCGACGGAAGGCACTTATCGGACATTATCGACGTCAGGACCTATCGCGGCGCAAATATCGATTCGGACCACTACCTTCTAATGGTCAACGTGCGCCAAAAACTTTCCGTTGCCAACAACATACGGTACCGACGCCCGCCACGGTACAATCTGGAGCGACTGAAGCTGCCCGAAGTCGCAACTGAGTACGTGCAATGCCTAGACGCAGCGTTGCCGGATGAGGGAGAGCTCACCGAAGCTCCTCTTGAGGACTGCTGGAGCAACGTGAAAGCATCCATTAACAGCGCGTTGGGTTCGTGGAGCGGAATCGACGGAACGATTGGTTCGACGAAGAGTGTCAGACGGTTTTGGACGAGAAGAACGCAGCGCGGGCGGTGATGCTGCAGCAAGGAACCCGTCTTAATGTGGAGCGATATAAACAGAAGCAAAGACAGCAAACCCATCTTTTCCGGGATAAGAAGCGCCGCCTGGAAGAGCTGGAGTGCGAAGAAATGCAACAGTTGTATCATTCTGCGCATCGGTCCGAAGTGTGAAGGGTTTCCCAAGTAAAAAAATAGGCAAAGTGTTCTACTGCCCACACTGCCGCCAGAGCTTCGCGTTGATTTTGGCAGGGCTTTTGATGCGAAGCTTATAATGCGTGGAGGTTTCATGCCATCATCCTGTACCAAAACGGCTCCTAGAGCATATGGCGAGGCATTCGTATATAAAATAGTTTTATCCTTTTCCGAGAAGTATCCTAGAGATGTTGTGCACCGGACAATTTGCTCCTTCAATTGCTCGAAGACAGTGGCCTGCTCCTCTCCCCGGGTCCAGGCATTTGAGCTGGTTAAGGCCCACAACGAACTTGCGGTATTGGTATTAGCAAAACCCTGAATGTTGGGACTTACAAAAGAAGCCAGCCCTAGAAAGCTTCGTAGCTTGGAAGCCGTGTTTGGCTGTCTCAATCTCCGGATATCCTTTATTTTTTTCTCATCGATGTTGAAACCATTTGCGCCAAGCTCGTGCTCCAGGAACTTAATTCGAACTCTATCAAACTCCCATTTATCAGTATTCACAGTCAGATTATTCGTCCTCAAGATCCTCAAACGTGAGTCGTAGTTCTAACATAGAGGTAACTCTAAGACTAGTAGGTCCTGAAGAAACGTGCTAAACTTTTTGGCTCAGCTCTGGTACTATCTTCGGTCCCAAGCTATTCGATTCACCCCTCGAAACATAGGAAAATCCACGAACCCCTCATTTTATCTGTCAAACTTTCATAGCGAATCAAAACAAGCATTGTGTAGTACTAGAATTTCGACTAGAATGGGGTACGTTAATAGATTTGCTTGGGACCAATACGCTAGTCA